TTTTTCGATACTCGATGGTATCGAGGCAATTCAGTCGGTGCCTAAAAAGTATCGAACTCGATACCCAGCCCTAGTGATACCTGAGTTGGACACCTGAAGACACTCAAGGTCTATTGCTGGGGCAGCAAACACGCATTTTTCTGTGTTCAATGTCAGATTGTGTCTAGACAGAGCTGTGAACACCAATCTGAGGCATTCATCGTGAATGGCCACGTTCTTTCCATGTATTACAATATCATCTAAGTACACAGCCGTACCCGGTAGCCCTGCTAGGACAGTAGCCATGATTTTCTGAAAGCAACTAGGTTCTGAACTTAGGCCAAAAGGAATCCTCTTAATACAGAACAACCCCATGTGAGTCACAAATGCAGTCAGGTTTCTGCTGTCCTCGTGCAGGGGTATCTGCATGTAATCTTGCTTAAGATCCAGCTTTGTGAACACTGAGGAGTCATAGAAGAGTGTTGCGAGTTCCTCAATTGTCGGAAATGGGTATTTGTCTGGCACCACAGCCTTGTTACGCCCCCGAAGGTCAATGCAGAGATGTATGCCCCCAGACCATTTTTGTACAATCAAAAGATTTGATACCCAAGGGGAAGCATCAATGGGCTCAATGAGGTCTGCAGCTAGCATGCCCTGCAGTTCAGTGATGACCTTGTCACGCATGGCGAGAGGCACTCGTCGCAGTGGTTGGATTACAGGCAGTCCAATACAATACAAGTTTATTTATATAGCACATTTAAAAACAACTGGTGTTGACCAAAGTGCTTTACAAGGCTAAAAGAAACAGGTAATAATGACACAAAGCATTTAAGAAACAATAAATAATAAAAGTAAGATAAAAATAAATAAAAGCCTGAAATAAGATAAAATAGAGGAGAAAAGCTAGAATCAAAAGATATTAATGCCAATATGAGTCAAGGGATATTGAAAGCCACAGAAAAAAGGTATGTTTTCAAGGTGGATTTAAAAGTTGACAAGGTTTGGGCGGATCTGATGTAGGCTGGAAGGCTATTCCATAACTTAGGACCGATGACCGCACATGCGCGATCACTCCTGTTTTTAAGTCTGGTTCTAGGAACATATAGTAAATCAGAGTCCCTAGACCTAAGTGATCTAGACTGTGAAGGCGAATGCAGTAGTTCAGATAGGTACTGTGGTGCCTGGTTCCGCAAAGACTTAAAAACAAATAACAAAACTTTGAAATCAATTCTGTTTTTGACCGGTAACCAATGAAGTGAAATCAGAACCGGTGTGATGTGATCACTTTTACGCTTCCCTTTGAGGAGCCGGGCTGCTGCATTTTGAACTAACTGTAAGCGTGTGACACATGTCTGAGAGGCACCAATGTACAAAGAGTTACAATAGTCTAGTTGAGATGTTACAAATGCATGCATGACACTTTCAAAATTCTTACCAGACAAAAAGGGCTTAACCTTTGCTAAAAGACAAAGATGATAGAAACAAGACCTAACCACAGCACATATATGCACATATAAATATCAAATTTAAGACTGTTATCAAGCAAAACCCCCAGATTCCGAACACAGGTGGTACTGTAAGGTAACAGAGTATTGAGATCAACATCATGAATGCTGTGATCATTTGAACCAAACAAGATAATTTCAGTCTTACTCTCATTAAAACTTAAGAAATTACTAGCAAGCCAGAGTTTCAGATCGTCTAAGCAGTCTAATATAGGCTTAAAGGCAAGCTTATCGTCACGCTTTATAGGCAGATACATTTGTGTGTCGTCTGCATACAGATGAAAAGATACACAATATCTAGATAAAACAGAACCCAAAGGTAGCATGTAGAGATTAAACAGTACCGGGCCAAGAATAGAGCCCTGAGGGACAGCAGAACTTAAATGTTTATCAGAGGAAGAATGGTGCCTGAGGCAGACAGAGTAACTCCTATTGGTTAAATATGAACGAAACCATTAGAACACCGTACCCCGAAGGCCCACACATGCTTCTAGACGTGATAGGAGAATATTGTGATCGACCAGGTCAAATGTGAGGCCTTAAGAGGGCCGATTCGGTGTTGTGACAGGCTTTAAAACCAGACTGAAATTTCTTGTGTATATTGTTATCATTCAAAAAAGGCAAAAGAAGGCTCAGAACCACTTTTTCTAAATTTTTTGAGAGTAAAGGTAAATTTGAGATTAACTACTCAAAAGCTTAGGATTCAAATTTGTTTTTTTAAAGATGAGGCAGAACAGAGGCATGTTTAAGGCAGTCGGGTATGGTCCCAGTAAAAAGACATTTGTTGATGACAGACAACAAATCAGGGCCAATAGCTTAAAAAAGGAATCACATCCTGAGGGCAGCTAATAGGTTTTAAACAAACGACAATCTCATTAAGAGAGTCCAAGGTGATAGGCTCAAAGAAAGACCATGTAGAACAGCAGAGAGGAACATCAAGTGGTGTATAGGCTGACAAAGGCATTAGAGACTTCATCTGTGAGATCTTATCATTAAAATATCTCGCAAAATCCTAACAAAGAGAATCAGATGTGTCAGGAAAATGATTAATAGTGGAATTTAGAGCAGAATCAATTATTGAAAATAGGGCTTTAGGCCTAGTAGTGTTGCATAAAATTAACTCTGAGAGATATTTACACTTAGCAGCATTAGCAGCTCGCTGAAATGCAGAGAGGGTGTCCTTTAAGATTTCATAGGAAACTTGTAATCTATCCCTATTCCACTTACATTCAGCCCTTCTACAGGTCTGTCTGAGAGAACGAGTACTGTCATTTAAACAAGGCTAGAGTTGTGCTTATGTTTTTTCAACTTAAGAGGAGCAACAACATCTAAAATATTAGAACAGGTGGAATTAAAAAAGTTTAAGTGTTCGTCAGCATCTAGATAACTTAAACATGAGTCCATGTCCTGATTGGCACGTAGTTCCGAATATAAAGCTGTAAAATCATCACTAGAGCAATCGGAAAAGACACGAGTCAGCCGTGATCGGGGTTGTTGCTTATGTGTAATTCCAGTAAAAGGTAAAGAGAACAAGATTGGCAAATGATCCGACATGCCTGTGTCTAAGATGTTAATGTCCAATACAGGTAAACCACGTGATAGAATTAAGTCCAAAGTATGACCCTGAATATGAGTGGGGCCAGACACCCACTGATCAAAATCAAATGAGTGAGACTTCGAAACTCTTTAGAGAGTGGCTTAAAGTCACAGCATACGTGGATATTAAAATCTCCCAAGATTAAGATTCTTTCATGGCTGGTAACAATATCCCCAGAAACTTGTTGAGAAAATCCTTGTTTGGATGGGGCGGGCGATTAAACCAAGGCAAACACCACTGAGTAATTTAATGTGGGCTGAAGCAACAGCACTTCAAAGATGCAATGAGGGCTTGTTGTTAAACAGCGGCAGAAATAAGAGTTTTTAAACACTGCTGCTAGTCCCCCACCGCGGCCTGATAGCCGAGGTGAATTAAAAAAATTACAGTCCTGTGGAAACAGTTCAGTGAACGGACTTAACTCGCCAGGTTTAATCCAAGTTTCAGTAATGCATAAGATATCCAGGGCGTGAGACGTGAAGAAGTCGTTTAATATAAATGTCTTGTTCACCACTGACTGTGCGTTGATCAAAGCCACCTTAAGTAGCGATGCGGCTTTCTCTGGCTGTGTAGAATGGTTTAGCAGTCAGAGGTCGAAAAGATTCAATCCACGGCGACGAATGTGGGGGGAGAGATCACGTGATGGCACCGACGAAAAGCGTGGAACAACAGGTCGAAGCCACTGATAAGATGTGCTCGCAGGACACCAAAGAACGCGCTGTTCATAGGCCGGCATGGGACCAATACACATAGGCAGAGACCGTGTAAGAGATTTCAGCCGAACAGCGGCTCCACCGCGCTTGCCGCGTTTCCTCCGACAGCGTCGTCTCCAGGGAAAATCGGTGGAATGCCAACACAGGTGAGCAGTGAGATATGAGAGGGCAGGTAGGGGAAATCGGCCAGGCGCACCAATGTCACTCTTGGCAGAGTCAATAGCCTTGCGAATATTTAACAGTGTTTGACGGTCATAAACCAGCAACATATTACAGTCAGTGATTAGGAAGGATAAATATAAAATCATAAAATTAAAAAATTAGAAAGCAAGCAGCAGATAGTGCCACACACAACAGCGCCATCTTTACCCTGACATCTGGGTTAAGCAGGGTTTTTTGGGAAATAGCATAGAGGCAGCCTAAACCACTCAATAGAGCAGGAAACTGTGTCTGCCATGGAGAGTCCACCTAAAGGATGGTTGCACCGCTGTTGTCATTCAGAGAAAAGTCAAGGCTAAGGAACAGGCCAAGACCCAGGATATTAGCGCCATGCTGAGTTATGTAGAATGGGAACTCTGGTAGACGTTTTCGCCCATATTGTACTGGCAGTTTAACTACTCCAGTCACTGCAATGCTGGCTTGGCAATAACCACAGAGCTTCAGAGGCAGGGATGTACTGGCCATCGGGAGAACCGGGACATTCCCGGTGGGCCGGTCGAGTAGTGGGCCGATCGCCGAAATGAATGAGACCTCCCCCACATTAGGCACTGTTTTTAAATTACAGCGAACTGCAAAAAGCAAAAACTCCAAATACTGAACCGGCGCTACATAATGCATTTGCAAGTTGCACGCAAAAGTAGAGCGGCATCAGTCGCCGCACAGCGCTGACGAACATGCGCTGCGCTTCCGCCACAATGTAAAGTGATAAACAGCGCAAGTCGCTTGATCCATTCAGATGTCACACAGAATTGTGTATACGCTACAGTCGTGTGACATATGAGAACATTAAAGGTTCTGTAGTGATGCTGGCTGAAAACAGCCACGACAATGTAAACTACATGACGAGGTAAATTGGAAAATGCCAATACATAGACTTGTCAATTCAGCACCATTGTAATTTAACTTGTAGTTATTAACATTGTGTTTATTATAAATGTTACTGTTATTACTTAAATATTAAATAAGTTCTTAAAGGGATAGTTCACCCAAAAATGAAAATTGTCATCATTTACTCAACATCATGTCATTTCAAACCTGTATGAATTTCTTTCTTCTGTGGAACATAAATAAGGTAAATTCAGAAATTCAAGAAATTTCTGTCCATATAGTAGAAATCAAGGTTAACCAAAATGGTTTGGTAACATTCTACAAAATATCTTTTGTGTTCTACAGAAGAAACTAAGTCATTGGAATGACATGAGGGTGAGGAAATGATGACAGAATTTATTAGCAATACATTTCCTGCATTCTAGCTCAAAATCAATGCTTTACTGTCAAGTGCATTTCTATGTGACAAAAATGCATTACGTTTGTTGCATTTGTCGTGAATTCAGTAATATCTATTATTATTTACTCCAATTAAAGGCCCTGTAACCCAGTAAAACATTCATGGGCGAACTCGTGGGCCAGATAGGCTGGATTTGTCCAGGCCCGAATTTTAACCCCAGTCCAGCCCTGTTCAGAGGTGATGGTTGTAACTCAACATCAGAGAAAATGTTCTTGTAGGTGGCCATATTAAGCAATGACACTTTAGCTCCTGTGTCAAGAAGCAGCGAAATGCAACAGTCTTTCAGCTGCACACAACATGTGGAGAAAGTGACTGAGTAAGGACCAACTGTATGAATTACTGCTGGTGAAGGCTGCGAACTGGACTTTGATCTGCACCACCTTGCAACATTGGTTGAACTTAACACAATGTCTACACTTTTTTTTGGCTGATAGCTGTGCAATCTGGGGACCTGTTGGCATGATGAATGGAGCCACAGTTGCCACATCTCCATCTTTGTTGACTTGACTGAGGCTGTGTTTGCTGGATGATTGCACCTGCAGGCTGGAGCTCCTCATCCATGACTGTATTTGCAGGTACAGAGGTGACATCAGTTTTAGCTGCATTAGTCTCTATTTTAGCTGCACACCGTGTAGCTTCTTCGATTTGGAGTTCCAGAGTGAGAGCCTTATCCAAAATAAGTTTATCATTTTCCATAAGCAGGCTCTCTCTGACCCATGCGCTGTTTGTTTTTCAATAAGTTGGTCTCTATTTAATTCATCACGGAGAGCACCAAATTTGCATGGCTCCGCAAGGCTTTTTAAATCAGCGACAAACTGACTGGCTGACTCACCCGATTGTTGGCATCTTTGTCTGAAATGTAAGCGTTTCAACAGCACACTATGAGTCTTTTGAAAATGTCCTTTTAGTCGTGCAACAGCTTCAGAGTATGTATTTGCAGCGTAGAGCGTCTGGAAGATCCGTAATCCCTCAGCGCCGAGACAACGGAGGAGAAGTGCGCATTTTCTCCCTTCCGGGACATCATACAAGCCCGCGGCTGGTACGTCTGAAACAACACGTACCAGCGCTCCCACGGCACGACAGGTTCACCAGCGTGGGGCAGAAATGGCTCAGGGGGAGGTAGAGATAAAGCCATCCTTGTCGCCAAATGATACGTTCAACAAAACACATACAAACAGAGCTTCGGCAGAATGCCAGTTTACTCAATGAACTTCAGCGGCAACAGTCACGAAATGTGGTACAACTGTGAAGCATGTGCATCAGCATGACTTCACGAACTGGTTAGCAACCACAACAGATGTCCTACTACAAGATGGCTGAGATCGATCGGTTTCCTGGTCATAGGATGGAGGAGCGAGGAAACGAGGAGGGATACTGAGAAGCGCCCAGGGTAACAAACGCAACAAGGGAACTAAACACAGGAAGGGAGCTAGGAAACAGAAACACTTCAAAATAAGAGTCCACAAACACAAGAAAAGGGAACAGATTCAGATGATCAGATTTTCAGATGTCTCTGAACTTGTTCTGACCACCATTTTGTAGCATAAATAGACATTAAGTTTAGACATTAATACATTTTTGTGTGTTCTGAATGATTGTACAAGAGAGGTTAAAAGGATATTTACCTTGGAGCACATGATCCTTGCTGGGCACTCAAATCAGAAGTAACGTTAAAGTTCTTCACTGTTGCTTTAGGGCAGGGTAGAGAGTCCTTCTGAAGAAACCCTGAGATATCTGGATTGGTAAACAAAATTTATATAAATGTTCAGAAAATGGAGCACAACTGAAATATATCATAGCCGCCCAAATTAGTTCTCTGAAGGTACTTCACAAAACCTACCTTGCATGGTGAAGAGAAATATGATGTCACCACCCTTGATAAACTCTCTTCTAATGAGATCCTCTTTCATTATGGCATATCTATAGCCCCAAAAAATACCCACATATACGGTCTCATTGCCAATGATGACTTGAGTTCCAGTATTTTGAGGATTGTCCCAAACACTGACATCTGTTACAACAAAATATGGTTTTTAGGCCCTCCAAAGCTACATAACCTTGATCTTGAGTAAACTAAAATGCTGCATGTAAACATGGTATGAGAGAAAAATAATCAGATTCTCACTGGAATAAATCAAAGAAGGGTCAGATGTGAAACTTTTCTCAGAGGACATGCGCTTCTGTAAGTGTGGATTCTGGTCAAGCATCTGGAAGGTTATTTGTCTCCATGGACAAGGCCACTGCAGCTGGTTATCATATACACCAGATACCAGACGAACATATATTGAAAGGTAATTCTGATACACACTTAAACCAGCCTGAAAGCGATAACCATCACTGGAGTAATACAACAGACTGTACATCCAAGTGCCAAACACACTGTTGTTCAAAACCTTCTCAAAGTCTCTTATTTGCCATGTGTGGGGACACTCAGTCTCTGAAATATTGATATCATCCAGTGAAAATCCTCCACTGGAGTTTCCAGCTCCTTTACGGGCTTCAAACACAACTTGGAAGGTTTTATTTGCATTTAGTGGCACATGATGCAGCTTCCAGTAATTGCCAGGGGGTTCTGCAAGAAATGAAACTGTCAGTAATGTAGAATATTTGAAGACCAGCTTGAAATATAGATATAGGTCTACATGTGTTGTTACTATTATTATTTAAATCTACACAGTATTTAAACCAGGACAGAGACTGGCCTGTGATCTGATCCATAAGTCTGAGAGTTCCTCTGCTGTCTGCTTCATTCTGATATTCTCGGATCCAGATGTTTAGCTGGTCAGACTCATGGCCACTGTGATAGTAGTAGAACTGCAGGCACTGGACTTTGCAGTCTCTTTTAGGGGTCATTGTCTTGCTTTCCATTTTGGCTGCATCTCCCTCATTTCTGCCCTCAGTGCTGAAGTGCATGAAGAAAGACGTCCCTGCAGACATTAAAACAGATGTATTGTGCAGAACTGGATGGTATAGTGACTGCAACTGTGGTTGGAAGTGATGCATTACTTTTTGGGCATTAAAAATAGTTTATCTTCCATCCTAAAGTTTCTTTCTGTGAATAAGCACACACTGTCAAAAAAGAAACTCCACATTCTCAGACAGACTGTAACAGATCTCACCATTTTGTTCTTTGCCCAAGTATGTGTGGTCAGTCACATTGATGCCACTCACTGACTTCATTCTCTGCCAGCCATAATCACCAGCAGAACAGACACTCATCTGACACAGAGATTCATCATCAAAACTACAGTGATCAAGGAAAGAGATGGACGAATCTGTAATGCAAATATTTGAGGCAAAATCAAATCATTACAACTTATATTCATAACATTTCTATGGTCTCCCTTGCATCAGACATTCCTGCTAAGAAATTTAACAAAAACCAACAGCAGTAATTTAATCTTATATAGAATTCACATAAAAAAAACTATAAAAACAACAAAAGCCACACATGAAAACAATGTGGGAAATACTCACTGCATTTATAGAGTTTGTTGAGTTCAATCACATCATATTCACTCAAGTCCAGGCGTTGACCAATCACATCTTGGAACTCAGGACGCTTGGTAATGATTGTGGATCCATTACCATTGCTGAAGGCATTTTTATCATAATGCATCACAGAGTAGTAGTCATACTGGGTGTCTTGGGTGGTGGTCTGGTTCTCACTGTATTTATTGAAATTGTGCTCCTGACCTGAAAATAAAGACTGATGGAATTATTGATGTGCTTTTTCATAAGGAATGGGTTATTTAAGTGCTGATTAGTTAAATGGGCACTGCATTCAGTATGTAAGTAATTAATGGACTATTTCACATTTTTTCATAAAGACAATTAAATTTAAAAACAAAATTATAATAGTAAAAAAAATACAGGGCAACCTGTAATGATGTTTTCAAAGTTAATGGTCACATAATCATCTCTATCATATCTTGACTGCTCATGCCAAAATCCCAGTGCATGGAGAAACTCATGCTCAACAATGGCTTTTGTTCCACAACCATCTCCAATGGAAAGAGCCTGAGCGCCAGCAAATGTACGACCGACATATGACCAACACCTGAAAAACAATTGAGAGAACACATTCACATAACACAGTTACATTGATGTGTAATGTTAACAACACTACAATTCAAATTGTTTTACGCAACAACAAAAAAAGTAACCAAGAGCTGTCAAATAACACAAATGGAAGAATTATACACAGCACCTAGTGACCAAACAATGTTAAATGTTAATATCTTCTTTTCTTTAATATTTTGTTGTCTGTCTATTGTAATTGTCAAAATATTATATTTGGCAAACGCCTTTACAAGAAATAGTCCAGTGTGCCCAGACTTTTGACTGGGAGTTTATTCATTTAAATGTTGTACACTATACATTCAGTACATACGAGACCCATTAGTGCACAACACAATGAAATCTTCACAACACAATGGAAACAAGCTGCAACACAATGAAATTAGGACAACACAACGGAAACAAGCCACAACACATCGAGATTAGCACAATACAACAGAAACAAGTCGCAAAACAATTAAATTAGTACAACACAATGGAAACAAGCTGCAACACAACAAAATCAGCACAACACAACGGAAACAAGCCACAACACAACAGAAACACTTTACAAAAATTAACCATGGTTTTACTAGGGAAAAAAAAAACTTGGTTACTGTAGTTAAACCATGGTAACCACAAATTAACCATGGTTTTGCTAACGTAACCATAGTTTAACCATGGAATTTGTAGTCAAACTGTTATACAAATAATAATCAATACGCCAAAAACCATGGTTGCTACACTTCTACTACAATAAAACCATGGTTAATTTTCTTGCAGCACAATGGAAACAAGCCACAACACATGCAGCGAAATTAGCACAACACAATGGAATCAAGCCGCAACACAACGTAAACAAGTTGCAACACAACAGAAACAAGCCACAACACAACAAAATAAGCACAACACAATGGAAACAAGTTGCAACACAACAGAAACAAGCCATAACACAACAAAATAAGCACAACACAAGAGAAACAATTACCAACACAGCGAAATTAGCACAACACAATCAAATTAGTCCTATGCGTTGTGTTGTGGCAATTTGTGTTGTGCACTACTGGGCCACCATAAGTACAGCATAGTTTAGGCTATATAGTGCATATTACTATGTATTATTAATATTGTTGATTACTAACTGGAACCATACTGTACCCGTTATGACTCTCCAGAGAGACATATGAAATGTCTTCTGCTGCTCTGGGCTTAAAGTCAATACATGATTTCAGTCTGAACTGCTCAAAGGCTCTCCAAATGACTCCTTTATAGTTCACACCTATAACCACAATCAAAAATAATCTAAAACAATAGAAATGCTAATTAAAATATTAAAATTTCATTTGTTAAACTGTAAGTGTGAAATCCATGTTTTCTTACTGAGATTCACACTCAGCTCATAGGGGACGGAAATATCCCACCGGTTCCCAAGAATGGCGCTCTTTTGCTTAGGCTTTAAAACAGATTGTTTTAAGTCTCCTGAGAGAACTACAGATCTACTGAATTATCCAGTATTTTATTTATACAATAAACAACAAACAGAACTCACCATCATGATGTCTCCTTCTCTGAGATTTAAACCTAATATCACAAAACTGTTCAGTTCGCAGTACATTTGCTTACAAAAACATGAGTAAAAATTATGTTTAAAGGGGTCATATGATGTTGCTAAAAAGAACATTATTTTGTGTATTTGTGTAATGAAATGTGTTTATGCGGTTTAAGGTTAAAAAAACACATTATTTTTCACATACTGTACATTATTGTTTCTCCTCTATGCCCCGCCTTTCTGAAACGCGTACATTTTTACAAAGCTCATCGGTCTGAAAAGCAGACAAAAACATTAAAACCCTTTATAAACGAGGCATTTGTTGCATCCAGTGGGGACATAATTACAATTATAATGACTTATACTGTCTTTTTACGCGTTGCATCGCGCCGCATAAACATAAAACCATGTCTGCATTTGTGATCGGAGAAATGACAAACAACAAGTGCTACTCGACACTGCTCAAAACTCGCGTTTGAATCATCAGTGGCAAATCCTTTAAATATAAAAAACATAGTCTGTGTGTCAGAAAAGCTGGCATTGTAGTCTACTCTTCCAGGATCAGGAAACAGTCCTCCATAAAATGCGCTGGACACATCTGAATATTTGGGTTGAACTGTTCTGGAACAGTGTTGTAAATACAACTTAACCACAGATTTCTAGTCGTGTCCTCTTTTGGAAGACCAAACAAAGCAGTTTCGCTTTCACGACGAAACACACGGCGGGCTAGAGTGAGCGGAGGCAGGCGGGCTTAAGAACGGCGCGGCCGGCGGGCTTGCGGCAACCACATGTGAAGACCCCGGGCTGGACTCCGCTTCGTCGATCTGGCGATCCACAGCTCGTAGTTGATGTATTTCCGCAGCGACCAGCACGGATCAGCTCTAGGCATGACGAAGCAGATATTGTCCTCTTTTGGAAGGCCAAACAAAGTAGTTTCGCTTTCACAACGAAACACACAGCGTCTTCACGACATGGAGGCAGCAACAATACTACAGCGAGAATAAAAGTTACGCCTTCTTTCTTTGCGTGAACATTTGGGCGGTGTTATGCAAATCTTCCCACATCGTGACATAGACATGTGGGGGCGTGTTAGAATGATCCATTTTAGGTAGGCGTGGTTGACTCTTAACTTTTATAAAGAATATCTCTTTGGATTTGAGACTTTAGTCTTTGCAACTTTACAGATCTTCTTTATGCTTTAAGAGCTTGTAACACTTCAAAGAGAAAAGAAAACTTTAAATCGTGTCATATGACCCCTTTAAACAAACAAATAGATATACGTTGACTTATATAAACATACTTGATTTCTTAAGATAAAATATTGGTTTTACCTTTGTTTATATCTGGAATGTCCTTCCATTCCTCTGTAGTGCCAATGAGGAAATTTGTAATGAAGAAAAGAAAAAGACAGAGAGGTGAATTAAAAAAAACATTAATTTTAGAAAAATTTAGACAAAAACATAATTTTAGTGAAACAGCTAGAAAGTAAATTGATAAAAGAGCATTACATCTTCTGGAAGTGATCAAAACAGGATATGTTACACTGCACACTGGAGACATATTACAGTAACTTTACAACAAATCAATATCTATGACTGTGCTGTACGTACCAACTATATCTGGTGGGGGCTGAGAACACAATAATTAGACATCAAGAAAAACATATTTGAACATCAACAACTGTACATCACCCGTACAATGTACTATAACAAACTCTGTCAACTGTCGCACTTACCATAGGTGATGCAAGACAAAGAGCCAAAGCTGAGCTCAGCAGAAGAAAAGCACATACATGCATTTTCACTGGAAATGAACACATTTGATGACTGACGGTTATCACTTACATTAAAATTCACAAGCAAATGGATACACTAAGACATTTTTAGGTGTTTAATCATTTTAAAATAATATCTCAGTTAAATTTAAAACAGGCCATCAGAATATGTGATTTAAAACTCTAGCATAAAAGGGGGATACATACCAGTTTTCAATCATCAATGGCTGAAGTTATAATGAAAAACTGCTTGATCACCCAGCTTGGCAAGTAAACACCAAGTGAGATTCTCTTGAAGTTTGACAAGTCATTTAAATATGTGGACAGTACAGTTCTATTACACTTCCTTATACTGTGCGCCCATGCAGAAAAAAATAAGACACAGAGAACAGAGAACACATCTAGTCTGATATTAAGGTTTAACATTTTTAATAACATATTGATTAGCAAAAGCAACCCATATTTACCAAACTGAGTTTTTCAATTAGCACATTTTTGTATCGTATATTGACTACAGATATATTTTAACTGCAGAGATTTGCAGTTATTTTTAGCTTATTGTTTTTTATTAAAGCGACTTTATTGTTTATAATCATATCACAGTATTATCATCAAGATTTTGATAGACCTGACCAACTCCCTAAAGTAAAAACAAACAAACTAAACAAAAAAATATATAATAATAATAAATAAATAAAATAATAATAATAGATAATAGTAATAAAAGTAAATCATTGTACATCTTGTCAGGAAGTTACAGCAGTACAGATTTTTATCATGCAGCCTAAGGGGCCGTTCACGTGTCAGAACTCATTTTTCCACCCACTGGTTTTTGCAGAGTTTCGTGCATGACAGGGTTCTAAAAATCTGATACTTAAGTTAAAGTTCATCTTAAAAAAACAATGATGGGGGGGGGATGATAGGGGTTTGTGTTAAAGAATTGTGTTATAATAACCCCTACAAATACAACACATTATATACACTATAAACACTTTAAAGGAGACAGACATGTAGACTCTGCATGTTTCTGAAAGATTTTTCTCTGTTTGGGAGGGATGATTTAAATCATACGCTATTTATTACATCAAAATTTGTTAATACTTTACTATATTTAAGGGTGGAAAATTTTATCAGTTGTCTATTGCAACAATACATAACTACAATAACTTTGTCTAGAGCTCTTATGGAAGTTTATAGCATGATTTGTGAAAATTTAACTATACTGAATGACATGGCATAGACTTCTTCATGGCTAGTTTTTGCGTATTTAATTTAATTCTGTAACCTATTTGTCCTACAGATCTGTGTGGACTAGTGTTAAATGCTACTGTTTTTGACAGCGTTGGTAACGTTTATGACATGATAATATACGGTGGCCTCAACGCGCTGCAACTTAAGAAAACACATGCAAATTGAAAAAACACCAGCAAATTAAGAAAACATCTTCATCAGTTTGACAACACACTGCTGCAAATCCTCACAACACATGCAAATGAAGAAACGCTGCAAATCCTCACAACACACGCAAATGAAGGAACGCGCTGCAAATAGCACTGACTACAACGGAAATGTTTCAAGGGGACCCAAAAAAGTGACGGACCCGGCTGGGATTTGTTTTGTGCAGTGGCTTTTTTTTGTTTTGAGTTTCTGCTACTGATTCCTTATTTTTTATTTTTATTTTATTTTATTGAAGATGTAACATTCACAGGGGATACAGTCATAGCAATAAATTACATACACAACCAGAATACAAAACAATAAATATATAAAGAATAATAAAAATGAAATATAAACAGAACAAAAACAAATAAATAAAAAGTTAAACGTCTTTTCTTTTTTTCCATTTTCTTAAATAAATAAATCATAAATAAATTAAAATAAAAAATAACTTAAATGGAAAATTACACATAAAATGTCAACTTCAAAGAATACACAGGAGGTAACCCTTACATCAAAGTCAATATTTTTTCCATCA